CAAGCATATATTACAAATAAAATAAATATTTTTTACTGTATTAATAAAGCGAAAGTTAATTGTGGTAGCAAATATTTATACTAATACATAATGAATAAAAAAAATCATCAAAATTTTAACGGGTCCTATTATTTTATAAATAATCATGTGACGTGCATTTAGAGATCAGATTATCATATCAAAGGACCGAAAAACTTCTTGTACATGCAGAACTTGGAGGATGCATTTAGCATCTAAGTCCCAAGCTTAGGACCAGAACATTGTGTGCATTTAAAGAGAGTATGCATTTATAGAGGATGCATTTAGAGAGGTCTAACTGTAATATTATCATTTAGTAGAAAAGAAATATTAATAAAACTTTATAACTAACCTAAGAAAGTATACAGAGAAGTTTTAATTAGTGTGAAGGTTTTTCAATATATAGATTACTAGCAAACTTTATAGCTTGGTCTACAACCCTTCTTAAATCATTTTACGAAATTCAAGAATCTTTTTCTATTCTTTGATAATGACTGATGTAATTATAATATGTTCTTGATTAGCGATTACTAAAAAATTATAAATTTTAGAATATAATTCAGAAAATATAGTTAATGTAGTTAATGTTAATAGAGAATAAAAGAAACAAATGCCATAGGTATTTTTAAATGATTCTATTTAACATCTCTCTAACTTGTATTTATGTTGGAGAGAAAGAGATAGGAGAAATATGTGAGACACTTTATACTAAAATTTTATGTTTATTAGTAAAAAACATGTGGAATGTACATTATAGATCTCAACATTATAAAGGTATTAAGAAATATGCATATACATACTTTTTTTATTCTACTTACTCGATTGCTCAGTAATAAAGGTCTAGCAACATTATATAAATATATTTTGGTTAGAATATAATAGAAAAAACTCGTCTATTCTGAGCAAATATATATATCAGTAAATACTATTCCGCTAAATGTAAAGAAAAATTTGAAATATTTTTGAAAATTGATTTCTTATATGTAAAATTAATTTATTGCATAAGCAGTCATACAAAACTATAGATAATTTAAGCAGTGTATTACTTATTACATCATATGCACTTTAATGAGAATCAAAAACGTATTAATTTATGTCACACAGACTAACATATATTGATTATACAACTAAAAAATAAATTAATTTATTAGTATTATAATGATTATGTTAAAATATATACTATTCTAATATATGATATACTATTTCAATAAAGAATTTAAGATTCAGAAAACTCATTGCACATATTCACTTATTGTTAAAATCTGAGAAATCTATAATATTGTTTTTTTCCTGAAAATAAAAAGATTCAGAACTGTAATAATCAATTTCTTGAAAATTGCATAGATACATTTTATCATATGATTTACACATATATTACATATATTTTGAATTTCTAACGAAGAATGAAGATTTTATTATCATTATTGAGATATCTGTCAATATGATAATATTCAAGATTCAATAGCCACTTTAACATATAATACCAGAAACTATAATTAACAATTTTATAGCCTTACCGATGTAATTCTATAAAAGCAACTATATATGATACAAGACTTAATCGATTATTTAGCTGTTCTCTTTTTTGTCCTGCCTAGTTTTGTAGAGTATAATGATCATATAATGCAGAAATATTCTGATAATGTACAAGCATATCTTTAGTTTAAATTCTATTTTCATAATTAATTCCTGCAGAAGGTAACTGGGATCCCATATATAGTCTATATATCAATCATCAGGAACTCTTATTTTGTAAGGAGTTATACCTAAAAATTTCTTATCATTGGGAGTACCATCATTTCTCACTATATTTTAAACATGTTTTGCCCATATATCAGGCCTCAATTTGTGAGTTCTCCAAGCCCATTGGATAGCTTTTGCAATGTTAAATATGTGATATGCAATCTTTTTCTTAAGTTCATCTAAAGCGAGTTAAGCATCTGAAGCCCAATGATCATAAAATTCAGGGCTTTTTCTGTTTTTAGAATAAATAATATGACAAATTTCATTAATTTCATCATTGCTTAGTTTTGATGATACTTTTTTCACATTCTTTCGTACAGAATTAGAATGCATTTTGCCTGTTTTAGCAATGCATTTCTTCAGGTGATCATTGGCACATTCGATGGTATTTTTGCAGATAACTACTAATGAGTCACATACAATGCAATAAATATATAGTGAACGCCTCCCAGTTTTAAATTCCCCATCTTTATATAATCTTTCAGTCATTTGGATAAATCCATTCTTCGAAAAGTATTTTGGGTTATATTCAAGAAGTTTCTTACATGGAAAACGAACACGAGAACACCACATTTCTGGGGTTTCATTACTGTACCTATATTGCAGATTATTTAACGCCTGCACTACTACAGGATATAAACCAGAATAGTAGTTAGTTTTAACCATTTTTATAGTTTGTGTTTTAGCGAATTATAGCAATTTCAGTGCGTTATATCGATTCTTTATCAACCTATACTAGATAATTTCACGATTCAAATTTATAGCGATTTTATCGATTTGTAGCCGATTTGAGTGACTACATGCTAGTAAATCAAAATTTATTTTTATTCGATTACAAACAGACCAGGAATTTATATGCTATATACAGTTTTTATATACGTGCATGGATCAAGAACGACTTTGCCTGACATTATGATCATTGTATTACGGTACACCTGGCTCTCAGTTAGTTCCCGGCACTTCCTCGCAACTCAAAGATGATCGGCTCCAGATGATGTCATATAACATAAAAAATTTGATCGGTCAATCAAGATTTTGCACGCGCAGTAACTAAGCCACAATCATTATCCTAAGCATCTTATAATCCGCAGTGGGTAAATAGTATGCATGCAATATAGTAAACAGCACATAAAAAGATGGGTTCATAAAGCCAAGAAGTACCATACTGAATGTATTAAATTAATTTTAAATTATTTATTACTCTCTGTTATTGTCATTGAATTTTACAAATGTTCCAACTTTTGCAACTACAGTAAATAAATGATACATGGTCTAAAAATAAATCGTAAATTCGCAAAAAATTAGCGACTATGAAGATTCAAAAAAAAAATAATTTGTTGCTAGTTCTTGAATTACAAATGCAAAAATAGAATTAAAAAAAAATTATTTGACAAAATGAAAAAAAAAAAGTTAACACTGATACAATAGATGATATTTTGACAGTATTTTGATCCACACTTAAATAGTGGATTACGCGTCGGTTGTAGGAGTTACGGAAACGGAATCGGGATGATCCCAATTGCCACAGCCGCCGCACCTTTTCGTAGCAGGGTACGCTTCACCATTAGGTACCATGGCAGAAAATAAAATAGCAGCAAACACAAAAATAAATCGGTTCATAGTGTTTCTGAAGATAATTCGTATTAGAGAGTTATTATTTTAGTAATTTGAATTTTATAGTTTTTAGTTGTTTTTTTTTGTGTGTTCTTCATGGCCACCACCTTTTTTATAATAAAAAAAAATCGTCGCGTGATTTTTCTTAAACATTTTTTTTCTGTGAATCAGTCGCAATCTTCTTATTTCAATCTCATTTAGTTTTTTTTTTTCAACATTTTTATGTGTCGTATTTGGAACTTAATTTTGATGATCGATGATCAAAAAATGTTTCTAGCCTTTTTTTGATCTGATTTTATCCATATAATCATGTCGCTTACTACCACCCCCTTAATTAAAAGAACCATTTTTATGTGTCGTATTTGGAACTTAATTTTGATATCGATGATCAAAAAATGTTTCTAGCCATATAATCATGTCGCTTACTACCACCCCCTTAATTAAAAGAACCATTTTTATGTGTCGTATTTGGAACTTAATTTTGATATCGATGATCAAAAAATGTTTCTAGCCTTTTATTGATCTGATCTGATTTTATCCATATAATCATGTCGCTTACCACCACCCCTTTGCTATGATTTAATTAAAAGAACCATTTTAAATGGGAATTTCCCATTATAATAATAACCAAATAATATATACCAAGTGATGTACAAATTAATGCTACATTTTTCTTATTAAAAGATTATTAATCTCATGTCATCAAGTGAAATTTTGTACCATCGCGACTTGTGATTTTGAATATCGTATTTTCCCTAATTATATCATACATATTTTTTGTACAATTTCGACGTTAGAAGGATTTTGAAATATGAAATCCTTAAATTTGATTTATATTAGTCATTAAATATGCTGATCTTGATCTTACAAACTTGTTACTATATAAAATTGGGCAAATACAAAAAAAACATTAATTAAACAATTTGGTTGTGTGACACACGATACATCTGCTCCAATTACTTATGATAAACTTTAAACAAATACCTTATCGCTAGTTATCATAATAAATATAAACCGGTTGTACAATTCGGTTCCAACCGGTTTTGTAAAAATCGGTTTTAAACGAGTCGAACCGGTTGCACCCGTTTTAAATTCGGTTTCCAAAAATCCAACCGGTTCCAAACTTAATCTGAACTTATTTTATTAAAAAAAATAATATTTAGCTTATAAAGCAAAAAAAAATTTTTTTGGTAGTTTCCTCCCTTTCTATTGCAAAGAGCCCATTTGATCGTGCAAAGCGCATGTTAAAAAAAAAAAATTATAAATGTTTCTCTTGCTTCTCTTTAAAGAAAATTATTTAAAGTTTAAACTCAAACTCCATTATTTAAAGTTACCTGGTTATTGCATGCGAAACAAATTTTTGGACCAATCAAATTAATCAAATTCAGAGGGGTACAGGTTAAGGATCCCCAATTCAAAATGATCGTCCGTCCCGTGACTTTTGAAATTTGATTGGTCCTTACACGCGGCGTGACAGACGCGAGATAGATATAAAAGATTAAAATTCCCAAAAATCCTGAATTGCACTACTTTAAGTAAATCTAATTTAATCTAATAAATACTCGAACATGTCCACATCAATCTCTACAAGCGAGTCACCACAAGTGCAAAAAATAATAAAAGAGTTCTTCAAGTGTAATTCGACTTGGTCGTTTATAAACTTTTTGCAATACAGGCAAACACGGGACGGTATTTTTTATATAACAAATTTGAGGAGCATAGGAACTACAAAAAAGCATTAGAAATATTATCTGATCATGAGTGTTATCGTTATGCAGAAAAAGCAAGAAATTGTTTAGCCAAGTATATGTTCTTTTTAACAATTGAGATTGGGCAATTTCATGTGTTCAAGGACTAGAATACGTTCCGGTCACCGAAACAATAACGTGACGTATTGACACCCCCCGAGTAGCTGACTGACTACTTCTTGGCCAGTGATAGTGGACTACGCCTTCCCTTGGGTGCTCTTACATGTTATTGCCCATAACGCTTAGTCCTTTATAAACACAGTAGTTTCGGGATTAAATTATTTTATGTTTCTCTGATAATAGAGTGAAAAATCTTCTTCGGTTGTCGATGGATTTTGGAGGATGATAGATAAAAGACGACATCATGACGAAATCGAACTTGAGAAGGTTTGTAAATTATCATCTATAAAGATTTAACTTATTTAACAAGGAACTGAATTTTATTGCATTAAATAATTGGATTATGCAAAACGTGCATTAAAAGATACAAACAACGAAACGCGCCGTATACGTGCTATAATATAACGACAAATAAAACGATAAGAGATCTAAGTCAATCCGAGGAAGAAAATAGCCCAAAAATTCCGACATTTGGATCATCGAACGAAGATGCATTTCTTACACGGTTGGATTCCTCGTCCGAGTATACTCCGACTACACGGTTAGGTTCCTCATCCGAATATATTCCTTCGTAGATTTTCTTTATGTATTACTTTTATAATTGCAAATTTGACATGAAATTTCTTTTGCATGTATTTTTAGCGATGGATCAGAGGAAGATGATGAATTTGAGGTTATTTTAGTAGGGCGTAAAAAAGTAAAATAATGATATTAATGTCTATCGTTGAAGCTCCGAATTTATATAGTATAAATTAAAATTAATTAATGTTTTTCTTATATTGTCATAGCTCAAAAAGACAAATGAATTATCATCTTCTCCTTCTCTTCCATTGCCTGGGCTAAGAGGAAGAGCGACCAGTCATGTGAACATCTTGTTATACATCCGTGTCTATTTTGCTATGATTAATGTCTACTGATTCTGAAGAAATCGGCTACGTATCTATTTTTAAGAATCTTTAATCATGCTTCAAATCTTTCTTTTATGTTATAGAATTTAGGGATAATGGTGGAATAGATTTGCAAGAAAAGGTAACAATCACGCATTTACTACATCCATGTAAAATTCCAATTAATTTCGAATTTATTGATATATTATCTAGGATAAGCCAGCTACAAGCTGCAAATATAGTTTAAGAAAAAGACAACATGTTGATTACAATGAGGTACGAATAACAAAGAAGCAACGTCAAACAAGAGATGACGGAGCGCGAGATTCTTTTATAATTTATTTTTTTTTTTATTAATATGTTTATATATTTAATAAATGCTAATATTTTTAAAATAATTTCTTATAATTCATATTATAAAACAATTATAATTATTTATTAAGAATTCATTTAGTAGTTTTTTAATATTACTTAATAAATTTAATTAATAATAAAATTTAAAAAATAATAATATAAATAACTTAAATTTTCAATTATTTCAGTTAAATCTAATTAAAAAGAAATAATTTATAATCTATATAATAATTTTGCAAAATCGAAACTATATTACAAAAAGTTAAATTTTTATTATAAACTTTATAGTCAAAATTTGATCATAAAATAATTTTACATTATAATAGTAAATCTAAATAAATTATATTTATAAAGTTAATACATATTAAAGAAATAGTTACCTAATTATACTGAATTATACAAAAAAGGTAAAGTTAATTTAACAAGGTTATACAAAAGTAACATTAAATAATAAATATATATTAAAGATTATTTAATTTGATCATATAAAAAAAGTATCAATATTGTAAAATTTTATTAAAATATTAAATAAATTATAAAATATTCTATAAACTTTATTAAAAAAATAATAAATTGTTATATTCTAAACTTATAGTATATTTTAAATTTATAGCATATTCTGAATCATAAAATATTCTATTAATAATAAATATTAACAGTTTTGAAAAAATATAAATTTGTATATATAAATCATTTTTAGAATCATAATTGCTTCTTATATATTTTCTATCTTTATAACTATAAATAAAAACATAATATTAATCGTATTTACTAAACTAATAGAAAAAATCTTTACTGATTAGTAGTATTTATCATTTATAACCTATACATTAAACAACTTAATTTGTTTAATTTAATTTATAAAACTAATCAACATTAGTAAATAAAAATTAAAAATTATTTTTTAATATCAGAATATTACTCTTATAATTTCTTATAATTACAAATTCATATTTATTTTTAATATTAATAGATACAACATCTCCAATAAATAAGTGATATAAGATAAATTATTATTTTTTTCAAAGATATAACTTGCATATTTAAAGAATGATGGTGTGATATTAAGTACAATAGTGGCGGAAAAAACTGGCAGTAAATGAAAATTCATTTACTCAATCACTATTTATTAAAATCGTTCAAAACTTAAAATATAAATAAACTAATACCACATTTATTATATATTAAAATTTTA